GCTGGTCTACTGAACACTTGCAATTTTTAATTGCAAATGGCCTAAAAGAGAAAAAAGAAATCTTCTATCTTTGGTTTTCCTGTTGTATTTGTATGTAGAGATCATTTCAGTCTGTCTTCTATCTCTTTGCCACTTTTTGTTAGTTGATGCTATCACACACACACACAAAAGGGATGGAATATATTTAGAGCAAAATATTGTGTGGTCTTGGTACTGATGTGATTTCATCTGATAGAAATCTAGCAATTTAGGTAATGATAGGGCTCTGCTTACAACTAGTTTACCCCCAAGCCCCCCTCCTCATACTTTACCCCTCCTCCTTTGTTGGCTGTTACCTTTTCCTGTATTAAAGAATACATTTTAGGGGCACCTGGGTGGCTCAGTCTGTTAGTATCTGCCTTCAGCTTGGGTCATGATCCTGCAGTTCCAGGATCCAGTCCTGCATTGGGCTCTCCCTGCTTGGTGGGGAGTCTGCTTCTCCCTTTGACCCTCCTCTCTCTGGTACTTTCTTCTCTCTCTCAAATAAATAAATAAAACCTAAAAACAAAAACATTTTAAAAGAAGATTAAATTTGAATGCTTTTCTTCCACCTTAGCAAATAGAACATTAAGAGCTTATAACACTAGCTGATCTCAATTTTTTTGTGATTAACCTAAATCAATTGAGAAACCAAGTATGTACATGTTTATAATTTTTTTACATTTACATTTGAACAACGTATTTTATTTTGTATATGATCTTCAAATTTTAGAAAATGTCTTAACTTTAGGGGCGCCTGGGTGGCTCAGTTGGTTAAGCAACTGCCTTCGGCTCAGGTCATGATCCTAGAGTCCCAGGATCTAGTCCCACATCAGGCTCCCTGCTCGGCTGCGGGTCTGCTTCTCCCTCTGACCTCTCCCCTCTCATGCTCTCTCCTCTCATTCTATGTCTCAAATAAATAAATAAAACCTTAAAAAAAAAGAAGAAGAAGAAAATGTCTTAACTTTAATCTGGTAATCCTTCATTCCCATTCTGTAACTTCTGACATTCTTTTCACATTTATGAATTCCTACTTCTTCCATCATAAGATGGATCTTCTTTCCTAGTAGTAGTGGTATTTAACTAGTTTAGGGATTACAAAAACTCATTTCAAAGCCACATTTTTCATTTCCTCACATTGACTTGTGTCTTCACAGTGAGAGCTAATCATTTGAAACTTTGGCATCTGTCTTTTTTTTTTTTTTTTTTAAGATTTATTTATTTGACAGACAGAGATCACAAGTAGGCTGAGCAGAGAGCCCAATGTAGGGCTCGATCCCAGGTCCCTGGGATCATGACCTGAGCCAAAGGCAGAGGCTGTAACCCACTGAGCCACCCAGGCACCCCTCCCACACATTTTCTAAAGCTCCTTTTCTCAGCCTCTGGATCACTCTAATGTAAGTCAGAATTTTATGTGGGTTTCTGTACCTGTCCAATACTTTCACGCCTGTTAAAGTTAGTTGTTGGCAATTAATATGCCAATAAAACTTCAGTCTAAAGGTGATCATTTTCAGTCAACATAGTCACAGTATCCCATGATTAAAAGTGCTTATTCAGAGAAATGGATTTTAAAAATACATTAAAAATTTACATCAAAGGAAAAAGATCTAGTACAAATTTTCTTGCCATTGAGGTCCATAAAGGAAGAAGGAATTTCCATTCTTTTTTAAAAGATATACCAGCCTTACTAAATTTTACATTGTAATAAAAGACAGATGCCAGGGGCTCCTGGGTGGCTCAGTGGGTTAAAGCCTCTGCCTTTGGTTCAGGTCATGATCCCAAGGTGCTGGGATAGAGCCCTACATCGGGCTCTCTGCTCAGCAGGGAGCCTGCTTCCTCCTCTCTCTCTGCCTGCCTCTCTGCCTACTTGTGATCTCTGTCTGTCAAATAAATAAATCTTAAAAAAAAAAAAAAGACAGATGCCAAAGTTTCAAATGATTAGATCTCACTGTGAAGACACAAGTCAATGTGAGGAAATGAAAAATGTGGCTTTGAAATGAGTTTTTGTAATCCCTAAACTAGTTAAACACCACTACTACTAGGAAAGAAGATCCGTCTTATGATGGAAGAAGTAGGAATTCATAAATGTGAAAAGAATGTCAGAAGTTACTATTCTAGTTGCTGGAAATAGAGCAGTGAACAAAGTAGACAATAACTCAATGCCTTTGGGGAACTTATATTTTAGTTGGGAAGTATAAGCAATTAACAAGGAAAAAAATAAAATTTATAGCTATACTAGATAGTAATAGATATTAAGGGTAAAAATAAAGCAGGCAGTGCAAATAGAAATCGTGTCTGAAAATGTGCAGAATTGATAGAGTGGCTAGGGAAAGCTACATCGATAAGGTGAAAAAATGAAATAGGAGAAATGAATATTCCAGGAAAGAGAGAATAGCAAATGTGAAGTCCTTAATCAGGAGCATGCCAAGTCATGCTCCAGGAACAGCAGAGGCCAATATGGCTGGAGTAGAATGATCCAGGGCACAAATTGAGGGTAGGAAGACTAATGGAGTCAGGGTAGAGGGCAGATCTTGGACGGCCTTGTAAGTCATTTTTAGAATTTTGGTTTTTAGTCTAATTGAGATGCTAAGTCTTCAGAAGTTTTTGAGCAAAGGCATGATTTGCTCTGACTGATATTTTAAGGGGACCATTATGCCTGCCGTGAAGAAACTAGAATGAAGGGAGTCAAAGGCAGAAGTAGGAGACCAGGAAGAAGGCAAGAGATGATAATCCAAGTGGAATTTCTATGTAACTTTAGGATTATTGTCTTAAGAAAGCCCAACTTCAGAAATAATGTCAATATTTGTTTAAATAAGATAAACATTTTAATCAGTCTAAGATATAAGTGAAGAAACAGCACAAATATTGAGCAAGCAGTGTTAAAAATACGCATTTATTTTTAAATAATACATCAATATTAAAATTGTTATGTTTCCTTCATTATATCATACAATCATAACCATTCACAATTATTTATATTTAAATAACTGAGATGAATACTGTAATTATGTAGGCCCCATTACTTGAATACTTAAGAAAACTTTTTTCCCTGAATTGTAAAATTTAGTATTATCTTTATTTATTGTTTTAATTTTACTTTTTGTTTCGTTTTTAGATTCAGAAAATATTAAATGATTGCATTATAACTTGGAACCATATTGCTAAATATTTAATATATAAGTTAAAATCTTAAGCATGGACCAAATCTCCTTTTTTAAATTTTATAGCTCAATTATTAATATTTAGACAGCTGTTTTTTTCTTTATATAACTTTTGGTACCATCTTGTATTATTACATTTTACACAATATTCTAATTGCTTTTTTATGGGTGCGAAAAATATGTATAAAATTCAAGTTTGTTACAATAACTGTTAAAATTTGTAAATATTTTGAAAACTTCAGTAAAATCTCTACTATTGCCAGAATGGCATTCCCCGGGAGGAAATGAGGGAATTACGATTATGTGTGACCCTGGGCGAGGTAATTTACTAATCAACAGCAGCCCCGGGGAGCGAGCAACGATTTCTCTAAACGTATATTCAAGTTATCTTTTATCTTCCAGCTGTGGAATTTTGAGTCCATGATATAATGCTAGTGAACAAATTATCAGAACTGCAAGGTTTTTAGGGTCCCATATTGTAAAACGAAGGACAGTAAGGAAATACTGTTCATAACCCTTTTGTTCTGCCTTTAAGTTTACAATTACATAGTTTATTAAAAGACAGAAGACAATAAGAAAGGCCCAGAGGTTGTTTTAAAATCAGTGATTTATTTTTAACGTAATGCATAATTGTTTCCCTTATCTACTGTATGCTAATGAATAGGAAGTATTCTTGAACTGTTAAGTGGCTTTTCAGACAGTAATTTACAGAGTATAGTTATGTGTCACTATCTAGCCAGATCTTTGATCACACAAGCTGAGCACACTCTGCCTCTCCTTTTCCTTTTCTCCTTTGCAAAACGAAACGGGCTAGATTGTGTTCATGTGATGCTAGTGACGTCAGTCCCAACCGGGTCGCGTGACCGACACCCAACCTTCTCAGCACCCGGCCCCCGCCTCCGAAGCCGGAAATCTCGCGAGAGACCGCCTTACTATCAGAACTTACTGAGGTTACAGGGGAGTTACTCTGAAGAGAAGGTGTGGCTCCGTGGAGGGAGTTTTTGCTTTCATTCTAGCATTCATGGCCGAAGCAAAGGCCTTCGGGGGTTGCCGGTGTCTCAGCAACCCAAACTAGAAAACGGCGGGGGGAAGTGGAGAATAAGGTGGCAGTCATATCAGAAGTGAAACGTGGCGCAAGGCGGGCGTCGCCCCTCGCTAAACGGGCTGGGAGCCGGCAGCGCGGCTTCTGCTGTGGAGGAGGAGGGCGAGAGTCACTGGGAGGCTGGGACCCTTCTAAGGAAGCAGTCAATTGCCCACATCCGGCCCCCACTGTGTCAACACCTAGCGACGCCGAGATGAAATGGTTGCGCACCTCACGCTCCCACCCGGGGCACCGCGGCTCGCCGGTGGGCTTGGAGCGGTTTCTAGTGCCCCGCGCCCACAACAGGGCCGGGGGCCTCCACCGGCCCGGGCAGTACGTCCTGGCAGCTCACGATTTACCCCGCACCTTTCCGCTAAATCAACCCCAGATTTAGGCGGCAGCTTAATAACGAGTTAACTGGGTAATTTTGACGTCTCGCCTCATTCACCTAAACCCTCTCCAGGCTTCTCCCTCGTACATCCTCCTCCGCCCACCTGGTCTCTTCCTAGACGGGTTTGCGCGAGTGTGAGACCTAGGGCGGGAGAGCGAGATCCGCGAACGCGCAGGGTTGGAAGTCGCTAGAGGGAGGTGTGGGACCGGCGAGGAGGGGGCTTCGTAAGGGAAGGGGGCTGGCAGGCGGAGAGAGTAGTGGGAAGAGATGGGAGGGGGTGAGGGGGTAGAAGGCGGAGGGCTGGGAACGGCGGACTAGGCTTCGCCCCATCCGAGCGCTCTGTCTCTCGCCGCGCAGTCTCGAGGCGGCGCGGACTTGTGGGGGAGCGTCAGGCAGCCGAGGTGCCCGCAGGAGGCAGGCCGGCCCCGGGCGCGCACGCTCGGCCGAGCCCCGGCGCGCCCTGCGCCCGCGCCTGCTGACAGCTGCAGCTGGGCTCCAGCCGTCCGCTCGCAGCTACTCGGCCTCCGCCCCCTCGGGCTCCCTCCTCTCCGCCCTCACCCCTCCAGCCCCGGTGCGCTAGTTTCGCAACTGCTTGCCTCTCGCCCCGTGCCCGGCTGTTTTCCATTTCCCGGCCCCTTCTTCCTGAGTAGTTTGCCCCCCGCATTTGGGGAGAGGGGCTGGAAAGGGGGCAGGGGAGCGTCCAGAGGAGAAGGAACCAAGGGCGGGTGGAGGAGGAGGAAGAAGAGAATCGCCGGACCTTGGGGAGGCGACCCCACACCACCCTTTCTGGTCATCTCCCCTCCCGCCCCGCCCCTGCGCACACTCCCTCCCGGGCGAGCTACTTTCGGACGAGGAAAGTGAGGGCGGCCCTGGGTGACAGCGCCGCGGGGCCAGTCCCGGGGAAGCCGCGCGTCTGTTCAAGTCTTGTCTGCCACGCTCCCAGCCAGGGACCGAGGATGGCTTCGACCACAACCTGCACCAGGTTCACGGACGAGTATCAGCTTTTCGAGGAGCTCGGAAAGTAAGCCTGCATCTGCACGTCCCCTTTCCAGCGGAGGGCGGGTCGCGTTACCCCCGACCCACCGGCCTCCCGCGTGGGGCGAGGGAGTTTGGGAGACCAGAGGAGAGGGAGGAGGGCCAGTGGTGTGGCAGCTTTGAGAAAGGTGCTGGCTTAGCAAGAGGAGGGGACAGAGACGGGAACAGACCCTCCACCCCGGCTGTGGCCGATTCCGATAATCCTAAACCCACCTTCTCCCGCTCCCCCACCCTCTTGCACTAGAGACTTAGTGGATTTACGATCCCTGCAGTTGTAGATGTCATCCTGAGAAGTGTGCGAGCGTGTGTGTGTGTAGAGGAAACAAGAACCCATGTAAAATGCAACATAGATCATGTTTTCTGTAAATAGAGATGCCTCCTGGTTAGCCGGCGTGTCCGCCGTACGACCCACGTACGGATGAGAACTCACTGCCACAGACGGTGCCATATTTATTGATGCCGAAAGTTCAACTTGGCATAGAGTCTATTTCGCATCCAGTAGTTGTTCTGTCCAGGAAAAGGGTCACCCAAAGGAACTCGACCCCCCCGCCCCATATCCACAATTATTCTTTGTACCAGATTATTCGCTCATCATCATCCTTCCTACGATTTACATGTACCTCTTGGCATTCTCTGGGAGGATTTATTTATACAGGCAGCGGAAAAGACTTGGAGACCGAGAGAAAGCTTCCCAAGGATAGCCTAGCGTTGTATAAAACGACCTCCTATACTCGACTGGCAGAACTCCTTGGAGAATTTAAGGAAGGGGACCGGAGACCTCCTGAGGACCTTGTGCTTAGGGACCTAGGGGTCAAATCGTGAATGTTGATTTATGTAGCATCCAGCCCAAACCCAATTCCTCTATCGCTAGTGCCAACTATTACTTATAAAAGGGGTGCATTTATATATATATGTGGTTGTTTTATACAATTGAATTCATGAAAATGTAATTATCCTTTAAATGTAATGAAAGTTATATCCTTATATATTTATATGTTGTCTGCTGTTAAAACATGGAGAATATGTCGGAAGAGCAGCTTAATTCAAATCTCTCCCTTCCCCCAGCTCAAAACAGGGCACAGAAATCACGATATCAGGATTTGTTAAACCACACAAATAGTCCCAAGATTTATATTTTAATGAAAACAATCGCCATATTTACTCACTCAGAGCCACATTAAATTTTTTTTTTTTTTTTTTTTTGGGTAACAAAATAAATAGGCAGCAGATTTTTGCTGCTCCTCCTCAGCCATGCTCTTTGCAGGGTTTCTTCTCTTTTCTTTCTTTCTTTTTTTTTCTCAGAGCATTTGGTGCTGTGTGAGTGTGAATTGTAAAATGTTTTCTAATTTCATGTGCAAACAAGAGCCGTCGTAATTGGCAGTTCCTATCATTTTGTTGATTAATAACGTGTGCTCCCAGTTAAATAAAATTTACTTTTGTTCTTCAACATTAAAGAAGGTTTGGGTTTCCAGGAAGAATCGTTCATTTTCTGGATATTACTGTAGTGCACTGATATTTTACAAATCACTAAATGCAATAAAAATGCTCAGATTGCTATAATTTTTTAAAAGGATATCAGAGCTGATTATATTGATGACATGCTAATTATTGGTTTTCAGGGGGGCTTTCTCAGTGGTGAGAAGATGTATGAAAATCCCTACTGGACAAGAATATGCTGCCAAAATTATCAACACCAAAAAGCTTTCTGCTAGGGGTGGGTATTTTCAACCACATATACAGTATATGTTAATTTGTCATGTTGATGTTGGTTCTGTTGTGTGTAGCTATATAGTTCTAACTGAACTGTAGACTTATGTTTTGAGATTATTTCCTTTCTGAATGCCTCTTGGTATGTATAGTTTAAAAGTAAGTGAACACGAAGAATTTTAACAACAAATTATTAAATAATTACAACTGTCCTATGAGCAGTACCATACATAACTCTATTTTAAAGCAAATAAGTGTCACTAAGTGCATTTTGCCTTTAGCTGTGCTGTGAAATAACTTTCAGAAATACCCTGGAATGGAAAAATGTAAGTCTCACAACTGTCGTTATTCTCTTTTGCTTTTAAGGGAAAAATAGGTCACAGCTCAGTTGAATCATATTTCAGTTGTAGTTACACTTGAACTTAATTCATCAAGGTATATTTAACAGTAATAGCTTTGGGAGGAAAAATTTATCATTGCTATGTTCTAGGAAGTTCAGTTGATTTTCGTGTTTCTGTGTGCAGTCCAGACCTTTACTGGGTCTTCCGCATTAAGCCTTCTCATGGACTCCTGTAATGTATTTTACACATGTTTTATAGCCACAGAGATAATTCTTATCATAAAATAGCTGTTGACATACGCAAAAAAACTTGAAGGGACCTCACTGCATTCTATTTTGTTGAACTCATGTGAAAGTACTTACACTGAAATGTTAGGCATTCTAATTATTGTGAGCACGTGTCTGAGGTATTTCCATGGGACTTTATGGTTTAATGAAATTTAAATGAAATTAAAATGAACAAAATACCACAGTATAAGCCCATTTTGGTGACCTGGTTTATTTTAAGTAATGAGAGAAGAAATCCTATTAGGGTTAGATTGCCTCATTTAATTTGTCTTCTAAAAAGTCCTGCTTCGTAGTATCTTGGTATCCTTGAGTTTGATCTGTGCCATGATCCCCTCCTCCCATCCCCATTGTTACAAATTCTACTTTTAGCAAATACTTAAGGTTTAGATTGGCATTTCAGTTTATTCATTTGAGTGAGATTTTGTTGTGATTTCCTTCATCCGATTTTAACAGTATTCTGAGGAAAATCTATGTGCTGAACTAACTAGTACCATAGCTTCACAGCTTAAGAACTAATGAGAAGCACGTTATGCTTGATTATGTTCCCCTTTCCCTTTTCTCCCCAGTCAAAAAGAGTTGCTAAACTGTAAATGACATTTTAGTTTTTAAAAAGAAAAAAATGAAAATGTGTAATTCTTTCAGTGCTTGTATGTTTTCTTTCTGTGTGCCAGGTACTTTTGTCAAGAGTAGGGTTATCAGTTCTTTTGGAGGCATTATGACCCCTATCTGAAATCTCTCAGTGGCTTTAGATTTTCTCTCAAAACAAATCAGTCTTGTGCTTCACTTTTACTGATGTTGTTAATTAGAGTCATCCCTCTTCATCTACCCTAATTCATACTCCCTACATCAGAAAGGCAAATACATGTGTCTCTGCTCACACATATTTTATTTTCCTTTCTTCTGCCTCCAGTCTATGGAAGATAAGTCTTCTCTAACTTGATGGGATTCCTTCTTCCTGCCAGTGTTCCTCACCTGCTTATACTCTGCTTTAAAGAACATCTACACCCAAAGCCACCTTGCCTCATCTGGATTCAATGATTCCAATTACATTTAGGAAAAGTAATTAGAGTGAAGTACTAGAAGACATGGTTCTTCTTCTCCAGTTTTCTTTCCTTGTGACTGATTTTGGGCAAGTTTCTTAACCTGCCTATGTTAACCCTTCTGAGGAGTGAGGTGGTAAAGAAGCAGGTGTTGGAACTAAATGCTCTGGATTTAAATTCTGATTCTCCTCCCTATTAGCTGTGTAATCTTGGGCAATTTACATATTTTCGATGAGCCTTCATTTTCTCATCTGTAGAATGGAGTAATAATGTAACCCTTCCTCTTATAGGGTTTGTGAGGAGTGAATTAATATGGTATAGAAGAGCATCTGGTACATAATATGTCTTCAATGCATATTAGCTGCTATTATTATCTCTTGGGTTGTTGTAAAGATCAGATGAGATTACTTATATGAAAGAATGTGAAAATTATAAATCCAGGGGCAGCCTTGATTTAGCTGTGAGAACCCAATTTGAATCTTTGCTTTACTACTTCTTGTGTAAATTTGGTTTAGTCACTTAACTTTTCTTGATCTCAGGTTCTTCATCATTAAATGGGGCAGAAGTACTCATAGGGTAGCATGGGTTGTTTTGAGGATTCAGTGAATTTTATGAGAATCACTTCTTAATTGCAAAGTACTCAGTCACTTTTACCTATTACTGCTCTCTTGTAAAATGTTATAGTACTTTCCCGCAAAATGTTCAATTTATTTTATCACCACAATAATTAGAGCTGCTTATAGCATATGTATACTTTAAATGTGTACGTTAGTTTAAACTACCCGTATTAAGTTATAAACTCTTAAAACAAGCTTTCATTTTTTAGTGTAACATTTCACAGCATTGCGTACATAGGAGGGGCTCAGTACAGAGTGACTAGGATCAAATGTGCCTATTAAGTGGTTTGTGAATAAGTTAAATACTTAGTTTATCCCTAGGAACAACCAAATACTAGATGTAATCTATAAAGTAGTATATTAAGAGCATATGCTTTAAAATATGAACATTCCTTTAAAAACACTCCCTTCTCAGAATATAATAATCATTAAAATGATCGTTGCAGAAAAATTTTACGATAATATATTTAAAGGGAAATTAGAATGATATGTAAATTAGCATACTTTATTTTCCTTAACATTCTGATTTTTTTTCTTTTGACTGTGCTTAGCAGTTTTTGTAGAGCATGTAATTTTTTGTACAAATTTTTGTTTGTGTTATTTAAAATACAATGCCTTTGTAAACCTAAGCTTTAAGCCTGTTTGTTTTAAAGACCAGGTAGGTCCTCCAACTCAAATAATGTTCTTTAAATGTAGCATTACAACTGAAAAGGAAAGACCATTGTCAATACATTTAAGATCATGAGGGATTGCCAAAAATTTGGCTATCTTCCTGCACAAATTTGCACATCCAACTATACTGTCACCCAGGCACCCATCTGTGCCTAGATGTTAATGGATTTCCAGCAGACAGTTTCAGTTGCATTTCCTCTCAGCTGTTAGTCACACAAACCATATTTGGGAGACTCAGAGTCTGTTGAAGAATTTCTTCCCTTTTACATTAACACGTGCATGCACAGAGCATTCATTATATGATACTGATCAGATCAAGTACACTGATATATAATTTGGCTTGTTTTAAAAATAATGTAGAAAAGTTTCAAACATATTTTATATGAAATTTCTGTCTTAAGTTTTTCATTAGATGGGATTAGAAGGCATACTTAATAAGTGGTGGTTAGTGATGATAGAATTTTGTCTCCTGTTTTTACCATGGGAAGTGGAAATCGTATCATTTTGGTTCCAGACAATTAGGTTGGTACTCACAAATGCTAATTTGCTCTGTGGTTTTGATATTTTGTTGATTTTGACATGTTTATAACTGTAATGTATTTGTCAGGTTATGTGGAATCATTGAAGGGTTGTGATTGCAGTTCAGAATCCAGTGGATTGCTGGTTCTGATGGAAGATGTCCTTAGAAATAGTATTTGTGATTTATTTCACATTTTAAAGGCTTCCTGTGGTAAAAGATTTTTTATGGTAGTAATGACTTCTTGATGTTCATTTTCCAATGTAATTTTTGATCATTAGAAAGCACTTTTTAGGGGCGCCTGGGTGGCTCAGTGGGTTAAGCCGCTGCCTTCGGCTCGGGTCATGATCTCAGGGTCCTGGGATCGAGTCCCGCATCGGGCTCTCTGCTCCGCAGGGAGCCTGCTTCTTCCTCTCTCTCTGCCTGTCTCTCTGCCTACTTGTGATCTCTGTCAAATAAATAAATAAAATCTTAAAAAAAAAAAAAAAAGAAAGCACTTTTTATTACATGGGGTCTGATATGCCACAAGTCATTGTATTTGTAAAATGTAAACTACAACAGAAGCTTTGAAATAGTTTACCCTATTACAAAGATATTTTAACTCTACTCCCTTGGTAAAGTTAAAAAAAAAATTTCATTTTATATTTCTGTAATACTTCATAGATACAACACAGTTAAATCATTTGGAATTCGTTGATTTTCTAGTTTTGTTAATTCCCAAATTGATGATCTTAGTAGACTATGAATCAGGACTTTTTAAAACTACTTGACCATATACAACAAATTAGGTCTCCTCTGTGAAATCTGAATGTTGCATATATGTCCTCAAATAGTCTTTTTTTGCATTATAATAGAGATGTCAATAACTAACTTTTGTTACTTTTTTTCTTCCTTGGCATCCAGGCAGTCAAGAAATTACTGCAGCTTTTCAGCCGCATGGTTACTTATTTTTAAATTGGAAGCAGAACTGAGATGTTAAAGATGAATCAGATTGTTCTGATTACACATTATTGATTTGGCAGTTTGGAGCTAATTGGGCAAATTAATATTTTTGAAAGTTTCTTGGTTTGAGCAGTGTTTTAAGAAAAAACTAGTAAATTATTTTTATTTTTGCATATGGAATTTCTACAGCTCTTTAATTACTGGGCCCCAAAGTGGCATGTATCATTTTTAGCATTTAGTGTCCTTTAGTTATGTTTAGTCGTATTTGCATTCTTACGTAGGTTTTAATATTAGATATCTATTTTCCTCTTTTGGTGAATGAGAGCATTATTGATATTCCAACTGGTTATGAGATAAAAATGTATATCTGCATTTTTAGGAAATAATAATCTTTTCTGTATTCCAGCATTATTCAGATAGGCAAACTTAATAAAGAGTAGGTTGTCAGATGCCTCACTGTGATATTAATAACTAGTGTCAACTGATCACGCAGTAGGAATTGAACACCTGGAGAAGAACCTTCATTGTTTATACAATTAGATTAATACTTTTCATTTCCCTTGAAATATTGAATCAACTCAGTATAAAAAT